CCCCAAAACCCCAAAACCCCAAAACCCCAAAACCCCACTAATTACCTAATAAATTGAAAATATAGTGATAGTAAAACACCTTGTAAATTTATTCTTTGAGTTATTTTGAAAATGGATGCAAAATACTCTTCCTTGATCGTAATCAAGCCATTTGGCCTTGTCAAAGTGAGGTTGAATGAGCACCAAATTTGGAAATAATGCATCCAGGCCAAAATGATGGCTTTAAAATTGGGTATTTATACTGAAATGAAAATCTTTCAAAAATAAAATCTTTCTTGACGATTACTAAAAATATTATTTTAATAAAATTTGAGGCATATTTCAAGTTAGTTCTTATAATGGATTAGAGATTACTCAGAGATTGGGAGATTATCTTTAGGAGGTATTTCCAGAGTTATTCTGAACATCAGTCTGTGTCTCGGTTAGACTCTGAAGGGATTGTGCAGAGGGGCCTAGTGAAGATGATTCAATTTGGCCATCTTCAGGCTCTTCATCCTCTTCAACATCTGAATTGCTTAGATCTTCCTCAACTTCTTTTGGTACTAGTGTTAATTCAGACACTTTGGTGGGACTTTCCGAGATACTTTTCATCTTTTCAATATTCACACTTTTTGTGGGAGAGGACTTCGTCAAACTTTTACTCAATGGAGAGGAAAGGTCATCCTCTTCCTCCTCTTCGTATATTGCTCTCTTATCCTCCTCGTCTTTCTCAGAAAGGTTGACTACGAACTTAGTCTCTGTATGATGCTTCTTATTTTCATAAACAATCTCTACACTTTGCTTTCTCTTGATTTTATCTTTAGTTAAATCAGGAACTGATTCAAGATCCTCGATTTTTCCTTCTTCATAAGGTGTTTCTTGTTGTTTGGAGTCTTCTTTTTGAGAAGCTAACACAGCCTGTTTTTCTTGTTGCATTTTAGACATTTCTTCACACATACTCTTGATGAGCTTCTTGAGCTCTGAGTTTTCAACGTGGAGATCCATTTCTTTCATCATTGCTCTATCAAGCTTCTCCATTGGTGAACCAAATGCAGCTTGTTGCTGCATATGATGCTCACTGTTATACTTGAAGAAATGCTCTTTAAAGATTCGAATCGAGGTGTAATCACTCATTGGGAAGATCATGTTAGGAGAGCTTTGTAATCCTCCTAAGCCAAGGGAGTATACTTCTTCATCCTTTTTGTAGAATGGGTTTAGAAACTCCATTAAGTTTCGATTTACATATGTCCAAATAGAAACTGTCTTCTTTCGAACCATCATTTCTGCCCTTTCAGCTTCACAATCGAAAAGAAATGTTCCGAATTTGCAAGTATACACTTCATGGGCAAGGAAGGTTAGAAGCTTTATGTTGAATTGGAAAGCTGTTGGGAACTGGTGCAACAACTGATGCACTGCATCGAGCCATTGAATGAAGATAGGTGATCTCTGACTTGTATCTTGCTTCTCAACTTTAAAATGACCTAACCTAAGCTCAAACATATGCCCAAATGACACCCAGTCCTTCTCGATTAAGATTTGAAATCCCTTAAGAGTTCTATAGAAGGGATCTAAGATTATTTGAGCGAGGGTGCTGAGCTGTGCGGTTCTATCCCACCCATCTGAGCAATGAATGAGAACGTTCTTTTCATGGTTATCCATAACAGTTGCGATATCTCTTGCAGCCATGATTAGTTTCTGTATGAGGTTGATCCATCCAGACTTTTCCATTGCTTCATAGAAGTTACCTTTTGTTGTCGGGTTACTTCAGGCTTTGAACATCTTTTCATAAGATTTCCTGACACCATGGATATTGTCAATATCACAGAAGTATAGCTTACAATTAGTGTAATGCTTATCACAGTTTTCGTAGCCTCCCTTATTGAGCTTATTTGCCATTGCATTGATTTTACTTCGAGCGTCAAAGATCACAACCTTGTTAGTGCTGGGATTGGTATTCCCAATTTTGAACAACATATTTTCATCAGAAGTGGACCTGCTAGTTATTCCTCCTTTATTCTGGGAGCTTCTCCAAAGGGAAGTCCCGTTCTTCTTGTAATAATAGGAGAGACCAGGAAGTCGCCCTTTAGTTCTAAATTTTGCTGTTCCTTCTAGTTCAGAATTGGAGATGGAGTTTGGTACAATAATATATTCAGGATAAGTTTTGCACAACTGCTGCCCCTTTTTCGTTTTATTCCAACATCTGATCGCTTTGAATGGATACAATTCTGAGTTTTCTTGGTCCTTACCATTGCATAGGTAAAAGATAACGCCCATTCTTTTGTATTCCATGGAAAATTTGTAAACCTAGAGTTATGAAGTTGTCCTTACATTCCATCCATCGCTGGGTAGCTTGCTGTACGTTCGGAATTCAGGAACAACTTGCATTAATTTTTCAATGATTGACTTGTCATGAGAAGATATTTTCTGCTTAGCCACTTTGTGCTTAAACGCAAATATTGAGCTGCTGAACTTGCTGGGAAATGCTACCATAATTAGATTGTTGTAAATCTCATCCATATTTGGGTAAGATCTGGGTATAATCCTCATCTGTCTGAAATCTTTCGTGTAGATATCCAAGTAATATTGATCAGGCACCTTCTTGTTGAAGTATTTAGTGACCTTTTCTATTAAATTTATAACTCAACAGTATTGTTTTTCTTAAAGAACTCACTTCTTTGGAGTTCTTTACTATAGGGAACGAAGACTATTTTGTATCGAGTCATAATGAATCTTCCTTCAATAAGTCGATTTTCTTCTGTGTTAAGGAGATAAAAGTCATGTTCATTGCGGAGTTCATCTTCTCCGTACTCTATTTCATCTTCGTGGAGACCCTGAATCTGGTCTTTTTCAAACTCTTTGGATCTATATCGATATTAAAATCTTTTATCCATTATTAGTAGGTAATTTTTCATCTTTGATTAATTGGAATATTGATAGTTAACTCTTACTTTTTACTCTCCGTCTTGATCATTGAAGAAGAATTTTGCTTTTCAAAAGTACTTCTGGATAGTTTCCCTTCTATTTTATGATCTTCTTTCGTAGATTTTGAAAGTCCATCAGCTAAAGAGGCTGGAGAAGAGTCCATTTAATTAAATTTTAATAATTTTGTGTGGGTTTTGGGGTTTTGGGGTTTTGGGGTTTTGGGGTTTTGGG